CACGCTGGCAAATAAAAATTCATTCCGACCAAACCATATCGAAATTCACGCAGTTTTTTCATAGATAAGTGCAGAAATGTTTATTATGTTCGTTGTTGTTAAAAATTTGCATCCACGAGGCGCAGATATTGTTTAAATGTTCAACTGTTTATAAAAAAATTATTGAAAAAAATATATATATTTTTGTAACGGAAATAAGTTCATTGTATAGTTTAATGTTTTTTAAATCTGCACACAAAAAAATATTTCATTAGGACACTTATTTTCAAAAAAAAAATCTAAAACACTGCAAAAATTTTCAATTGTTGATAAAACAAAAACTATTCGGAATTTTGCAACAAAAATTACAGTGTACTTTTCGACTACAAAACTCGGTGCTGCCTGAAAATCATTGAAAAATATTGATCTTTGTAAATTCGGGGCCCACTTGAGGAAGCCTAACCCAATACCCTTGTGCACAAGTGCACTCGGGTATAAAAACATTGTGGCGCATGTAATACACTTGAAAAAACTTCATTAATTATCACTTCATCAACTCCTTACACACAAAAAAATGCCATTAATTCTTTTAGCCTATTTTTTAACCGAAGTTCATAGAACTCTTAGGTCTCCAAAAAATCATTTTTTTGGTTAATCACGGGTTTTTATTCAGGTTTTAAAACGTTAAAAAAACTGGATTAAAAACCTGATATTTTCGGTTTACCGAAAAAACCCGAATTATACAAAAAGCACTGCAAAAAAAAAAAACAAAAAGACATGAACCACAAATCTAATTAAACTAAATTTTCATTTACACTTATTACTTACTGCTGTGCAACGGAAATCAATAATAACAATATTTTTGGTAATATATTATTAACTTCAAAATTTTGTGTAATGTGATTTTATTTTTTAATATTTCCAATGCTTGTAATGTAAAATTTGTTAATTTTTTATTAAAATATGATTTAACAAACGACATATAAACCCAATTTTCAAACTTATTCCGAAAGTTCAATATTCACAATCGACTTCACAATCTACTATGCCTAGTTTCCAGATCAGCAAAAAAAAAATGTGTAGACAATTTGAAGTTTTTGGTACTCCGTAAAATTTTATTCCTATCTTGAAGATATACAAAAACCGAGTTTTCGGTTTTCGGTTTAAAAGAAAAGCGATTAACACCTAAATTAAAAAAAGACTGAAAAATATCATTAACAAAATTAAAACCAAACAAAAACGGCTTTTAGAAACACGATCTTATTTGTACATCCAAATTTGGCAGGTGTCCAAAGAACACTCTTTCTCTGCCCATGTCTACATCAGCTTTAAGCTCAATTTTGATCCGGCTCCTTTAACAGCATACAGGAACAAGAAGCAAACCGACTGGGCAAAGCATAAAAATACGCTGTCGGTCTCTCTACACAGATATGCTTATCGTTAAGATCTGATGAAGCGAGTCTCTCGAATACGAAGGTTGTTTCTCTCGGTGAGCTGGACTCATCGTCAAAAATTGATGAAGCAGTGAACTTTATGACAAATGCCTGTAATGGTGCTTTGAAAGCCTCCTGCCCAAGCACCCTCCCGAAGGGCACAAAGAAACCCCAGTGGTGGAATCCTGAGATTTCAGCACTGAGGAAGAACAGCAAGAGGCTCTTCAATCAAGCTAAACGAACAGGTCTTTGGCAACCATACAAAGACGCACTCAAAGTTTTCAAGAAGGCCATAAAGAGGGCGAAACGCGAATCTTGGCAAAACTTCTGCGACAACATAAAAGAAAACTCTAAAACCAACAGGCTGAGGAAAGTTTCCTCGAAATCCTCTTCAAGTATGAACTCTATCCAGAAGTCTAACGGTGACTGGACGACATCATGTATCGAAATGCTGGAGGTCCTTATGAGCACTCACTTCCCGGACTGCTCAGATGACACCTCAGATTTTTCGCCCGGTCTCTGGGTGATACCGT